AAAAAAAAAAAAAAAAAAAGATCCCCACACGATTGGCTAGGCTACTCCTTTTTGTATTTTAAAAACAACACAAGAAAATGAGAACAAAGTTTTCTTACCCACCCTTCTCCCTTTTAGAATGAGGGCTATATCAACTACCAGCATAACTTCTTTGAAAAATATCAGCTCTCATAACTTGATACCAAATATGATGGAACACCAATCACTTTGTTATGTTCCTAGCTGTGTGCCCATGGACATGATGAATGACATCACCAGCTGTCCCACCTTCTCCTCATCTGAAACAAGAAGGATAACAACTCATGGAACACCTAACAAGCTTGTGAGGAAAGCATTTTGTAAACTGTAAAGCACTAGAGAAATGGAAGTTGTTATCATTATGAATGTCTTCTGGTCCACCAGATAATTCAAATCAGAATTTCAAATTCAAAATCAGAATTGAAAGACCTTAGACAACATCTACTCCAACCATGTGATTTTATAGATGGGAAAACTGAGCTTCAGGGAAGGTAATTCAGAGGCATAGTGTATTAACAAGACATCATACAATCTGTATTTAACTTCCATATGTTTGAACTTTTAACCATAAGGAAACATTTCCTGTAATTAAGTTTTTTTTCCAAAAAGTTTTTAAAATTACATTTTACCTCTAACTCCTTTCAGTTAACCCTCCCCACAGTATCAAGAAAAACCATAATTACTATACTGATGTAAGTTGATTCATTTTTATTAAATTCCACAGTGTCAGATAATTGCATAATTATGAACATTCATTTCATTTCTTTCATAAGACATTTCATGTTAACTTTATTAGAGGGAAAATCCAACTTGGGCTAGGGGCAAGAGAAAGAACCGAAGGATTTTAAGAAGTCATATGCCAATATGAGACCCAATGTGGATTAGAAACAGAAAATTCCCACTCCTCAATTTCAACTGTTACCTTTCTATGTAAAAATGGTACAGATTAAAATCAGACATTTCTTCTGCATATTTAAAGCATGACTATAAAATATAAACATATATACAAATTATGTGTACCTACTGATATAAAGACCTACATTTGGAAACCTGTTTTTTAGAATATAAATATTAACACATCTCTGAT